ATGAAGAATTACTCACCAAGTCCGTCGTCCATGATGTATATTTAAGCATGGAAAATACACAAAAAATGTCAACTTCGAGACGCCTTTTGGAATTTTCATGCATGCTGCGCCTAAATGTTACGCTAAGCATCATGGTATAATGTGTCAATCCTCCTTTCCCTAATACTAACCCTTACCCAACCTAAACCCTAACCTAACCCCAACTTATTTTAAAAATTTATTACCTTATTTTGAAGTATACTATCTAGCAATTGCCATAATAAAATTAGGAAATAAGAAAATTTAATTTCTGCCAGGCATATTAGTTATTTTGTGCATAATTAGCAATTTACCTGGGGTGGTGCATAGTCATTTTCTGGTAAAATATTATACTTGGACAAATTTTCCCTTCCAATGACCACCCCTAAAAGCAACCCTTCTAAACACTATAAGCACTTCAGAAAGGCTGTCGCTTTTCCTTTTCGGAAGTTAGAGCTATGTCGACACTGCAGTTTCAGGGCGGGGTCATTTTCAGGACTTTCGTCCCGGATTCAGGTTTTCGCACATATGCCATGTTGACCGTCATGGTCATTTTATCCTAAAACAATTGAGATTACCTGTCCTAAATGAATCGCATACAAACTCATATACAGGTCCTAGACTAAGCAGCTAGTTTCGACAATCTACAGAAAGTGGATATGTGGGCATTAGGAATGGTTCTGTTCAATTTGGTAAATTCAAACTTAAAATACCTATTCCAGTTAGATCTTGCGAAGGAGACTCCTTACCTGTTACTAGACCAACTCATATTTTGCAAGAACAGAAATATCCAAGTCAATCGCCAAAGTATGCCAAACACCAAGAGACCATTTGGGTTCCAATTATAGCACTCAAAAAGAAATGCACAGTGTTCGATCCCGCCACCCAACCAACAGCTTCAGAGATCGCTGATGAATTCAAACAATTAGTTGCCATGAGTAGTGAAGCTACTAATTCTAATATATCTTCAACAGTGGATCGACGGTTTATTTTGGTTTATAAATGTATAAAAATACCGAATACTCATTGATGTTAAAATCGTCATATTCTATAGATCATTAGCCACTGTGGTCATATCATCATCCCCAAATTGAAATAAATCATAACGTTAGTGAAATTATTTTCATAATCATCTTGTTCACCGTTTTCATAACATGCCCATTCATTGTCATAATTCATCAGCGTATGGGTTTATGGTGTTGTTGTGGTATGCTGGTAGAATATAACCAAAAAGGTGAAACGTGTCAAGAAATTTTACATAATTTTATATGCACGTAATCTAGGAATGAATGCACAAAAGAGATGCAAAGACCTTTACATGTTCAGTAATTGATCTGACACGTCCAGAAAAAGCAGGCAGCAAATGCAGGTACAAGATTCTGCTTTTTTATGTTTAACTGATTTGGATCTCATTATTGTAGGTTATTAAGAGGCAATTTTATTCAATGTCACGTATTTGCAATGAAAAGTGTTCAAAACCTAAAATGTTTTTGGTGTTCCCCTCAAGATTACTTTGTTTTAGCTTTATTCTCTAGTTTATACAGTTGGTAACCTTTTTAAATGCATCTGCCAGTTGAGAAAGATAAAGTAATGGTTAAAAATTGTCAATTAAAATACAATTATCAATGATTATTTAAAATTGACGCCATACAGGCGTCATTTTCTCTTTGGCGTACCGTCTAAAATCTCTTCATTTTAGCATTATTTTACAGATAAAGGACTAAACACACTTTTAAAGTTTATTTGCTGATTGAGAAACATATCAAAAAATAGAAATTTTGAATTTAGTCATAACCTCAAGTGAAATATTATACGCATTAGTTTTGAGCGTGTGTTACATAACATACAAAAAATCTCCTCTTAACCAAAATCAATTAAATAATATTTTTGCCACTGTAGAGGCAACAGAGAAAGAGAAGCTGGAGACCCATCATCGGTTATGCTTACCTTGATTTCAAGGTACATATATATGCAGCTCTGCATTTGTATAATATTAATATACCAAAACAATGCATGTTATTAAATTAGTTCATGTTTCCCGAAAAACGAATATTCTTTTCAGAATACCAGAGAAGAAAACACAGAAACACAATGAAGAAGATGCAGAACTACAAGAAGTGACAGTCTCATGTAGAACTCACATTTCTAGCACCAAAGACACAAATGGTTTGCAATCTCCTCTGGAAGCCTCAAGTTCAAGGAAAAGGTGGGTGGGATACCTTCCGACACGACTATAATATCAGCACAAATGGCCTGTGCCAGTGTTTGTAGTAATAACAGCAACAGGAAACGTCGGATTGATAGGGATTCAATTGCATGAAAAATGCAAGAAAAACTTTGAGATAGCGAATTAGGGCCTTAATAGTTTTGTCTGTATTTTTCAGGTAGTTGAATCCCTAACCCATCCGAAGTTTTCTTATATCAGCACTACGAATGTGTGTAAAATAGACACTATTCGTGGTGAAAAGATGGGAGTTTCCAGAATAAGATACAGTACCTCAATGTGTTTTCGTGCTCATTTGAACCAATGTGCAAAAATTATCTGTTTGACTGGTAAACGTGTATTTCATGTGGGATAAAAGCATAGCTGCACATTATATGCCCGTTCTGTATTATGGAATTCAGGAATGCATTTAATCTTTTTAGATCCAGAATTCATGCAAAGTACAAACTGGTGAAAGCCACTTGAAAAGCGCAACAGATGATTAAAATAAAGTGGATCAGGTTGAAGCCTCGAATAGGGCAGATGGAGGTATAATGTTCGACAATGCGATCGATGTAGCCTACAGTAGGATGGAATTTAGCAGTAGTGGAGATTCAAACAATTCGTTAAAA